TATATACACCCTATGTATATATTTAAATGTATCTATCATACCATATGGTATGATACTCGCCTTAATAGCGAAAATTCGAATTCTATATTCAATAATGAAGTCATATTACATATAGAGTGATGCCTATCAAATAACTAATAATTCACTCAAATTTGTCGAATATCCGTAACCACCACCGAGGAGGGAACAGATACCTAATAATTATCATATGAATTTGTAAGAGCCAAAAACAGCACCTAACAGAACAGATTAATACTTGCTTAGCGCGTATCATTCAATGCTTCCCGTGCGAGTTCAGCGCGTGATGTAGTCTACGTAGTGAACCGGCGAACGCTTGCATTCATTTCACTGTAACATGTGAATTTTGAGGGAAGCAAATCTGTAACTGCAAACCTAATTATATTTACATGATGAGAATCTACTTATCAGAAGCTTTCCATTCATATATTTCATGAAGTAAAAAAGAGCAATAGAAAGGGTCTAACTTATCAAACAAACACCAGGCACACTCCAGTCTTCGCATCAGTCGCCGGAGAAAAATTATTACGCTGAAACAACCGCCTGTATACAATACAGTCAATGGTGTTTGGAAGGCTTGACGCAGGGTTCCCGGAATGCCGCCCTGAGCGGCGTGTGCGAAGCAACTCAGAGTCAGAAGTGGAACGTGAATTTCGATTTGGTTTTGTAGTCAGATTTTCGAGAAAAACTTCAGCTACCCGTATTTCTCAACTGAGACGTCAATGGGAGCTGTAATTTGTATGGCAAGTAGATGGTGCTACCCTTAATTGGTATTAAGGGAATTAATACAACAACCTTGTAGTTATTAATATTTTGGTTATAATAGAAAATTTTTATTTTTTTTGGTGACGTCACACTCACGCTAAAGTTAGCATGTATACGTCATAAGCTAGATTACGTCACCTTATCCTGATAAAGCAAACTTTCCCGGCGTGCTTTTTTCATGGATAAACAAACACCACTGCTTTGCACATGAGTACCTTGTCTAGCTATGGCTACACGAGCCGCATATTTAGCATATAATACTTAAACAAGGTACGTCTGCAACTGAATTATTCTTAGGCCCTAGTTAATTTTTTTTCTTATTTTAATTTATTTCTTTCGAAAGTGTACTTTCTATCACACATAAGATTGCACTGTCTACTTAGGCCTAGGCCTAGTCATATTATGCTTCATCGTCCCCTGCTATACACAGTACAGACGTTTGCTAGGCAACAGAACGTGATTGCACCTTTCTTACCAGGTGTTTATGTAAATTTGCATAGGCCTATTGTTAGCTAACCAGCTGAGTGTATTCCTCTGTGAAAATGAGTACCGCGGGCCGCCGCGTACTCATTTTCACAAAGCATTTGCACCCCCTCTTGAAAAGAGGGAACTTCGTAATAGTTGTCACTATATCTTCGCTCATTAATCACCATAATTTAGCTTACATTTATGCTTGGAGGGAGCACTTAAAATGTACAATAATCATTTTACTACCCGACAAACCCCGAACTTTATTCATGCATTACATAAATAGTTTCATCTTGCTGTACTCCAACANNNGAATTCGAGCTGTCTCTTATACACATCTAGATGTGTATAAGAGACAGTATATATACATTATATCAAGATATGCTCTGATAGGCCTATGTTTAAATAACATAGAACAAACGTTACCGGTACTCTGAATATTTAGAGTAACGTTTGTTATGAGATGTACATATACAAAATGCTTATTCATTTTGTATCTCGACCGACATCCAGCCATTGTTTCCAACAGTATTGGTTTGCTTTTCAGTATTTTGCATTAAATATTCAAAACACAGAACTGAAATTGACCTACGTCGGATGCGGAGAAAATACTGATATTAATACGAGTGATACCATACCAGCAAGGAGTTATATGAACACTCCATGCGCTTATGACCCACAACATATCAAATTTTCACCAATTGCATATCAAATTTTCACCAATTGCAATCATTTAATTAAACTGTTATTTTTGTTCCAACAGACAAATATAAATAGGCCTACAATCATGTACTCAAAACTGTTCGTCGCTGCTGTTGTCATACTATGTAGCTTTGGTGAGTACACGGAGGAAACAAATATCTATATATTTCCTCCATGGTGAGTATAAATAAAATTATGTAGTCCTCATAGCTTGAAAATTGATATTATCAAACATTAAATGAAAGTGTAGCAGAATGGATATTAACGGGAGTTGTACCAATTTAACACACCAATATCACTGGCGGTGCTAAGATCCAAAATCTGTATTTGTATACTTCAAATTAATATCTACACTGACAGATTAATTGTCCATAATTTCGCTGCAGGGCAAGGCCGCCCCTCTCCGACAGGGAGTTCTATATACCCGACAGCGGGGTGCAATTTTGACAATGAGAGGTTCAAATTCCCCTACGAGAGTACGGTTTCCCGACAGGGGTCCAAACTTACCTCAGCGGCCTCATCGTCATATGTGCAAATTAAATCAGTATGGTTGGAAATGGTAGGAGAGGCCACGGGTAGCCGCGCGTATCCTTACAGAAAAGGACCAAATAACACTATAAAATAAAAACATAGTATAGTATTTAAATGTGTTGCGACTATCCCTTTAATTCAGTTCAAATATTAAGAAACTAGGAACCAACTTTCGATACCAAGTCGTCGCGTATTTTATTGTCAATTCTCAATTAAAAAGACCCCGACGGTTGGGAGCTAGGCGAGCAAAGTGAGCCTCACATAGCTTGGGGCTGCATAGGGCCCCCGGTGTGGATATGTGGACCATTCAAAGGAAAACGTCCCAGACCAGATATTACAAAAGCGGATCAACTTATCTGAATGAAACTTCGGGAAAGTTTAACCAAGTTCCAAGGAAGAAATTATTAAATCGGGGTGCGGTCCGGATTCGGGTGTGAATTTGAGGGTCATTTAAAGTTCTAACGTCTCAGTTATAAATTAATCAAAATTAAACTTTCAGGAAAAGTTTGTCATGGTTCAATGAAGATCAAATTTTGGTGACAATCCGGAGCGGGTGTAGATATGAGGACCATAACATTGTTTTTTTTTGGACAGTTGATTAATGAACTGATCTACGCAGGGTCGGCTCATATTATAGTTAGTCAGCGGCTATGCAGGTGCCGTAGCCACGAGAACAGAAGTGGTCAGGTTGCGAGCGCAGCGAGCAAAGAGTCTGGGGCTAGGGGCTGCCAAGAGCACCCGGTTAGGGCTCAGGGCCCGAAGGCTCCTTGAAAAATTTGCCATTTTTACATTATATAGACCAATTTTAATGATGTTCTTTAGTAGTAATTTAATATTAAAATGTTTTGCCCCTTAGCTTGCGAGTGTACAGAAATATTGCGACAGTAAATCAGACTGAGAAAATTAAAAATAAATTGAAACGGCTTGATATTGGTTATATGTTTTCAAATGCTGTGGAGATAAGGAGGAAGATAATATTTCCTGTAATCAGAGGCGCCACGGAGTAGTGCTGTGCGCAAACTTTTGGTATGGGTCTCCTGTTTGTTTGTTGAGATTGTCTGTTGTTTGTTGAGTTTGTCTTTTGTTTGTTGAGTTTGTCCTATTTTTGTTTGGTTTGTGCTTTGTTTGTTGAGTTTGTCCTTTGTTTGTTGAGTTTTCTATTTTGACCCTAATATCCTGTGAGGTGTGGGAACACAGAAAGTGTCCTTTAGTATTACTTTCTCCTAGGCCATGCCAGGGAGTCCGTCAGGCCGCTAACAAAACTGTGTCCAACATAGTCCCACTTGCCATTGTATAAAAGGCGAGGAAAGACGAGTAATAGTAGGAGAGTCGCTTACAGCGCTTCGTAACTGAAAAGAAAGGCGCTATATAAGTAACAAGTAACAGAAAAAGAAAGTGCGTGTATTACAAAATTGAGTCGATGTATTAGTAAAAAGACACAACAAGCAGGACTAAAGAATGTGTAGGTGAGTTTGGGCCTAAATAAGGTAAAAAATACTTGGTAGACGAAACAAAATGTATTAAAAAGTATGAAAAACCTGAGCACACAAGTACAGGGCTGCTGGCGATGAGATAAAAGGATGATGTAAGGAACGCCAGAGGTGCAAAAAACGATTGTTGGGCCCAGCAATCGTTGGATTTTTTTTAAATAGGCCTATGTTTTAAACTACCGTCAGGGTTATGGTGAATGGTGAAGCAAAACAACACAAACACTTTAAATTTAAAACAGGCAGATTTATTCAAGAGAAATATTGCTACTCACAGCATTGTTGTTATTTTAGTATTTTTGTCTTTTAACATTGACAAATTTTTAGATTATGGCTATACAAAATATCATTATCATTAGTGGAGAAGAAATGCAACGTATGAAAGGTGTGGTGAAAGAAGCGACGGTATCTCCTTGTTTTAAACATTAGCATCCCGAGCCCTGTCTAGCGTAACTGTTCACCTACCCGTTTTTCCGGGTAGCAATTAATTGTTTTCACCATAACACTCTTGTTAATTGGTGATTAACATCATGGTGCGATGAAGAAGCGACATTAGTGGATGGACCACCAAGTTGCGGAGTGAATGAGAGTGCATGGATTTGGCAGGAAAAAGATATGACGTGTGTGGCTGAACCGTGTTCGGTTGAATTATGGTAGGAAAAATGAGTCTCCTTTTCGCCCTTGCTGTTACCATTGCACCTCCATGGTTTTAGATTGATACAACTGTTATCTGATTTCAGATGTGACCTACGCCCTCATGTGTTACAGCTGCACTTTTCCTAACTCTAACTGTGGAGAGACGATTGGGAATGACACGGGTATCGATCGAATCTCATGCACAGGAAGTTGTGCGGTAAGACGCTTAATTTCGACTTTCAAATATTTTCCTTTCTTTAACTTTTATATTGTCTAAGTAATTTTTCCATGTAATGTTGGAATACATGTAGTCTGCTCACTATCTCCTTTAATTTATTCATTGTATGCTAATAATGATTTTTTGTGTTGTCACGGATTGCACCTAGTGGGTCTGATGGAAATAGTGGAACAGAAAATGAGTATTGCTAATTACTTAAGAAACAACAAAACAGATACTGGGCATGGGAAAACTAAAACGGGATAATCAGAAACCAAATAGGTTTATCTGCATTCAGAGGGGAATTGAGAAATTGCTAGTGATCACCGCAACAAGCAACAATATCAGTACAAAGTTATACAGATTGTTATGTATCAGTACTAATAGGAAAAAAGAATAAACATATTCTTGAAACTGAAAGACAAGAAGAATATCAACTGAAGCTTTAAAAAAACCCGCTTTGAAATTCTGCATATAGAAGAAATCGAATTAGTCACAACATGTGATCAAATAGCAGCAACGTTATTGGAGGAAAAAGAGGCTCTAAGAAAAATGAAAAAGAAGACAAGGCTTCAGACATTGACGAAGACTGTAATTCAGCTTACAATATTATTAAACCAAATACTGTACTCCAAATCAAGAAGATACCGAGAAACGGAAGAAGGACAAGACCATAGGCCTGCTTATCCACAGAAAGCCTTCTATCACATGTATACAAATATTCACCAAAGTACTGTAATCCAAAACAGGCTAAATGATTTCCTAGATTAAAACCAACCCAAGAGAGCAGGCCGGCTTCAGGAGAATATTCTCAGTCATTGACCACCTACAGGTGATAAACCAATTAATAGAAAATCCAATGAAAAATTTCTGCCAGGATTTATAAATACCATAAAACGTTCGATTCGATAGAGCATAAGGAAATGTTTGATGCACTATACAAGGAGGGTAAAGTTTTATATTTGAGGACATATATATATGCCCTCAAATATAAAAATGTACCCTCCTTGTGTATACACAGATGCAACTGCCAGAATAAATATTGTTTTACACGATGTAAAGTTAGAAAGAGGTGGGATCTTTGATGACACAACGTCACCAAAGATTTTTACTACAAGATTGGAAGGGGTGTTTAAAAATGCCAGTCTAGAGAGGAAACGAGTAAATATTTACGGAGAAATAATTAGACATGAGATTCGCAGGTCTTGTCGTTGTTAACCAATGCATCATCACGATCATGAATACGAGCAGAGGCATGGTCAACAACAAGGTCATGGAAGAGTTGCTACATCCCTGTAATTGGGGCATCTCATTTGACGATATATGTAGTCTAGAAGAAAAAGTATTGTTTGCAGAGCCAAAGCCATTATCTTCAATGCCACACATCCTCGTCTTAACACTTTTACTTTTTGCAGTTCTGGTAGATTAAATAAGTCAAACATACATTAATAAAAATAAATAAGTTCAAGTACTCTTTTATGCCATTAGCAATTCGACTTTTTAATAACAAATTTGTCAGATAATTTTGCTTGTGTAATAATTTATTATTACATTTGACTATTGTAAATTTGCATATTAAATTCCATTCAAGATTTACATATTCATATTTTTAGTTCAATTACAAAATATTGCCTTTTTTAATTGGTTTTTTATACTGTCGTAAATATACATATTAATAACACAATAAAGAGTAAATTAACATAAGTTGAAATAATAAGTGAATGAATGGATGGATGGCTAAATGAATGTATGAACGAACGAACAAACGAACGAACGAACGAACGAAAGATTGAATGAATGAATGTCCAGATTTACCACTATTATAGACAGTAAAACTACAATTGTAACTAGTAAAATTATTGTATTATGTAGCGCTAATTTAATGGCAGATGGTTGTTAACATTTGGAATTTATAGTGAATAACAGACTAAATTTATGACGATTCTTTCATAAATTTCAGACGACCAAATCCACAACAACAATACAGGGCATTGAAATTACAGGCTACAATAGAACTTGCCTAGAGTTTTGTCCAGCATTAACCTGCAGGAACTTCTCAAGTGGAGACGGAACCAATGCGAGGGCATGTATTCACTGTTGCAACAACACAGATCTCTGCAACGGCAACAATGAATTCGAGTCCCCAACTGACAAACCCACTACAGGTAGGCCTACCCCTGATCCAAGTGTTGGAAGTCGTGGTATTGCCAATTTGATTATCTTTCTACTCGCGTTTTGGCTCAGCACAACACTTATAGCTTAGGTAGCCCAGAGACTCTAGGCTTGTAGCTTCAACTTATGAATTTAATTAGTACTAGCGAAACTGGTAATAATGATAATAATAAAATAATAATAATAATAATAATAATAAATAACAATAACAGCTACAATAACAATAACAGCTACAATAACAACAACAACAACAACATATAAAACACATACTCGGGTACCTGGGGCGAATTCTCCCTGTCATGGAACACATATAAGTAAGTCGTTGCCCAAACCACACCTATTGAACTCCAATGTTTAGCACCCATATTCAGTACAATATGAGGTGGCTCTCCCAGGTGGTCTCGTCTTATTCTATATAACAACCAACTGCATTTTGTCTAACCCATCTTTTGCCACTACCACCTAAATGAGCCATGCGCCGTTGTTACAAACCTCATCTAGTTCCCGTTGCCTCTGGATTGTCCAAGCATGTTCAACACGTTAGAATGAAAAAGTTATGAAATATGAACTTTCAGCGCATTATATCAAAAATACTAATCCAAGTACGAAATATATATAGACTTATACAACTGTTATCTAATTTCAGATGGGGACAACCGCCTCATGTGTTACAACTGCACTTATCCTGATGACCCCGACTGTGGTGAGACGATTGGGGATCCCATGAATATCGATAAAGTCTCATGCACAGGAGGATGCGCAGTAAGACGTTTTTCTCAACCAACTATTCGTAGTTGAGCTCATACTCTTTAAAAATACAATGTCTAATTCTTTACTTTTAAACATTTCCTTAATTTAAAAAAATAATTGATTTGAGTTTATTTGCTAGCGTTGTTAGGCTGAACGCATCGCATTTGCGAATGCTGCTGATCATAGGCATAATGTTCAAACGAATAAATATAAATAAATACTCGGTGTAAAAGTTATTGGCTATCTGAAATTTTAAACGAGTTTCCCGCGCATATTTACAGAAGCATGAATACTGTATATCTTTTCTATCTTTTTGCACCGACCCTTTAACTGACTGGTAATCATTTTAGGGATGTAAAGTCTGTAACTCAGTGTAAACATATTGTGTTCCGATCTTTTTCTCATCAGAAAAGCTCAATATTTTAATGGCTGTTTAATTTACTATTATAGAATTATCTGCTCAAATAGTTTCCTTTAGTTCTGTGATGTACGAACATGGAATAAATTCTTGTAAGTAAAACAATAATTAATATTTACTGTTTGTGGCGTTTCGAGCCGTTCCAATGACTGGTTTGTTAGTTGTTGACGATTCTCTGGTCCAGTGCGTGTTTTATAGGTTTACTTACAAAAATTTATTCCATGCTCAGTAGAATCATCTTCAAGAAAAATTGCAACTTGTAAAAAAATTCCATTGTGTAGTGCTGCATTATGGCGGATGGTGCGTTATGTTGTTTATCATTTATGAATTAATGGTAGGAAACTAATTTTGTGACGTTCTTTCATAAATTGCAGACGATCAATAAAACATCAAGCAGTAACGTGACAAGCTACAAGAGAACGTGCTTTAGAGAGGCGGTCTGTCCGCAAAATAGAAACTGTAGTGAGGTCGATGATGAGAGGTCATGTGTTGAATGTTGCAACACAGATCTCTGCAATGGCAACTTTGAATCTGAGCCCACTAACCAATCCGGACCTGCACCCACTGACCAATCCCCAACCAAGGACCCAAATGCTGGAAGTCGTGATATTGCTAGTATTGTTATCGTTCTACTCACACTTTGGCTCTATACAACACTGGTTTAGGTAGCCTGAAGGATCTAGGCCTACAGTTTCAACTTTTGAATTTAATTATTTTGCAATACTGGTCATTCTAGCAAAGGCGTTACTTTACTTTAGCAGTAGTATTACGAACCTTGTATTCTTACCCAGATCTGGATGGAATTATCTCTGATTTCTTCGTTTTTCTCTTGTGTAGTGAGTTTACCACTTATTCTTAATTTAAAATACATAATTTATTCATACATTATAATACGCTTATATATAAAGAATAATAAAAGAATACTGAATACTGGATCGCTCTTGTTTTCTTACTTGTATAATTTTGATAGATAGGAATGATAAATAGTTTTATTATAAAATTCTATATCATTTTAAAAACATTTTTACAATAGGCGTTGGTTGTAAGTAAATGATATTTTCATGTTTAAAATATGTAATGCAGCCGTAGCTGACACAGACAGGCTGACGACATATTTGCATGTGCCATTTTAGGGACTTCATTATGTCACTAAACATAGTGTAGTAGTAATAATTATTATTATTAAAATAATGAATATGTTCCTTGCAGACGTATATTGCTATACAGTAGATACTTGAAAATGTGTTGCCTCGGAATTATATAAATTGAATTGTTTTTATATGGCATTATGTAAATCACATTCAGATTTTACCTGTGCTTTTGTGAAATTCTATGGTGAAAAAGAAAATTATATTGTTCGCACTTCATAGGCTATTTGGATCACATGGAATTGGACCCTGGTGGCTTTTTTACTGTATTATTGTCTTTTTTCACTTTTTATCTCACAGAGCATTAGTGTTGTTTGTGAATCTGGTGTTGTATTTTAACGTCTTATTCTGTAATTTTAATGTATTTTAAAATTTATAATTTTAAATGAAATGTACTCAATATATTTTCCATTTATATGGACGGAATAAATTGAATATTGAATATTGAATTGAATCATTTTAATCATTTGCATATTATTTATCAAGATACCGTCGATACATTTGCATATTATTGTAACTTGATTTCAGTTACAAGATTATCAAATATAGTTTAAAATAATGGTAGTCCTCGTATCGATATATTTTGACGTATCAAATGGGGTTTCAGGGCGTTTAAAGATAGCGCACTCGTGATGTTGAAACCATTTTTTAGCAGAGACGGCGCTGCAGTTGGCGACGTCAGGTCATCAAAGTCCACTGCGAGATCTGTGGGATTACACGGTAGGCTTATAATTAATGACGGCACGATGAACTTAGAGCCTAAAAAATCCATTTCAGAGTAAGCAAGCAAGTAAAATTAATTAAATTTCGATGACTCAACAAAAAATGTGCACTCTAGCGGGCAAATGTCGAAACTGAAAATTATAAATTATAATACCTGTACAGTATTACTAACCTTATAAATTAGGTCTATAGTGTTATATAATTTATTATTTTAATTTATAGATTTATAACAGAGGAAAAAGAACCCATTGGACGCTTATCGATGCGTACATGTAATATAACTCATTGTGGCTGATGGATCTTACCGTAGTGAAGTAATACATTACCTAGAAAAGAAGAAAAAAATCCCACTGAATAATATAAACGAGCGGTACTGGTGAAGACAACTTGATTTCATGAAGAGTAGAACAGCTTCAAACAGGTCATTCCATTCTTGGAAGAAGGTTTTTGATGGAGAAAGTGTATCTTTTTAGCAAAGTTTGCCTAGGTCCTATATAAGATATTAGAAGATTGAAAATTGTTGTGCTTATTAAAGAATAGATGGATTACTATGTCCATTTTTTTAATTAATCTAATCTACATAAATTTACATTTACAGTTTACATTTAATTAATTATAATTTTTTAAGTATTTATTTGAAAAATACAATATGTAAAGGAAAACCTATAATCATTTAAATTTATAATATGTAATATTTAAATACAGCAGTAAGTAAATATTGTTACAATTATGTAATTGTATTAGTCTAAAAAAGAGACAGGACTTGAAGGAAGAAATGCAAAGAGGGCCGGTGCGGCTTAGAATTGTACCGAAATTTATTAAATAATGATTATCTATTAACTACCGTATGTTTAAACATAGTATTTCCTCCATGGTTTAATGTGATCAAATCCCCGAATCCACTAGTGGAAACACAATGGACCATTGTTACTGATGACGATGCGATGAGGGGACACGAACTAGGCTTATTACTTTCGGAGGTAAGAAGAACCATGTTTCTAAACTTGAATGTAATCAATAGACATAAGACTCCTCCCCAGTAGTGACGGAACCAGTGGGGGTTCGGAGGAGATTTCCCCCGACGAACAAGCAATGGCCCCCGTCGTCCGACGCCACGGCGAGGTCGTCGAACTAGCTATATTAATAATATGCCGATCCAAAAAGTGATTGTGCTTCTTAATCCCAAATATTTTGATCTAATAGCACAATTTTGGGCCATCTAAACCATAAAATTTCTCCCCATGTGCCCTAAACAGGGATTTATTCCGGGACCCTGATTGAGCTCTGCAGCCCCTTGGTTCACACCTCCTGCTGGAAAAACTTTTGGAGTGCTTCCGGAACCACCCATCATAAGCAAAAATGTCTGAAGTTGTTTGTTTTCTTTTTTATTACCCACGAAGGTACGACGATAGATAAATTGTTTTAGTATAGGGGGTCGATATTCGGCAATGGGTTTCAGCAAAGTGGGTTTCCAAGGTTTTGAGTCAGCAACCCCGCTTTCGGCAAACTGGGTTTTGGCAAAGTGGACTCGGCAATCTAACATTCGGCAAACTGGATTTCGGTAAACTGCTAGGGATACGTAATTTATTATTCGTGAAAATTCTATTTAAATTTCTATTCATTTGTGTGTTGTTAGAGACCAGAAAAATTAACTTTGTATGTCCACAGGCTTGCATTATAACATATTCATCCGATAACAGATATGATAAGTATTAGTTTCGGTGACATCCCCATTTATGATGCCGTCACCAAACCTGATTAGGGCATTCTGATCAGATGATTGATGACTGGTGCTGTCACCAGTATAGAAGTGTATCAGCATTCTATTTGTCACCGAAACTGATCACTTAGGTAGAATCGGCTTACATATTTGTTCAAATGAATCAATCTAATCGCCAATCACCGGAGCTGATTGATTCCCAACAAATTTCGTATACTTATTAAAAATCAACTGTTAGAAGAAATGGCAAATAGAGTGCAAATAATGCATAGCATTTTCGCGATAATTGGAAACGATGTTATTGAAATAATAGTTTTTAAAAGTGAACCTTTTGAAAAGGGAAATGGGGTGTGAGTCCGCACCCTCTACGCCCCTACCTACGAGCCTGTGGTATGTTCGGGTCGAAAATAATTCTTACAGTAGATGCCTGAAAACACACTATTCTGCATTCTGATTGGTCATTTGATGAACTATTATATTTTAAATTTTACCTTGAAGTATGTGATATGCTTCAGGTTTTGAACCTTTACCTTTTTTATGTGATATGCTCGTATCCCATAGGAGGAATGTTGCACGATGCGTTAGATTTTCTCTTTGTTTTTAGTTATGCTGCCCTCTTCCGTTTAATTCTATGACGTAAGGAAAATCCCCTAATGCTCGTTGCATCTCTATCACCTTGTACAGTAGTCCAGTGTTATACCTCCCTGTTATCTTCTCCCAGTCCACTAGCTACAAATACCAGTATGTATACTGAGTTCTTATAAAATCGATTGAACTTCCTTCCCCAAAGTAGACTTCAATTACCTTAGTGAATTATTAAGATGTCAGACTTAAAAAAAAATAATAATAAAATTTGAAATCATAATATTCAACCAAGCACATTTTTCCTGTAGAAAAGACTATTCAACACAATATGTAAAATTCATGACCATATGTTGTTTTTTTTTTAGTGAAGTTTATAAAGGGATTTTTGTAATCGATAATGGCAATATTGGGTTGCATGGCAATATTGGGTTGCATGGCCAAAAAAAATGAATGTTAGTGTTGGCCACGTTATAGGAAAATCCAAAAAATGGGTGGGTAGGTCGGTAGGAAAACTTTTTTTTTTAACCAAAAATGTGTTTACGCTTAAAAAGTAGAAAATACACAAATAATACAACAATTTTGGCTTCTCATCGCATACTATGCACCAAAATAGACTAGGCCTTGGCCCCCTTACCTAGTCCATGGCTATTCCAGCCTTATAAGCTCATGGGAAAAAAATATTGTTCCTTGTAGCCAAAAAAGAAAAAAAAAAAATCTAAAATGCTGACCCTGAATTTCGTAAAATTTAGGTCGGCTGGGCGTGGCCAAGGCAATAATTTGTTTATTTGACCAGACTAGGTACGTCGCGAGAGGATACAAACAAAATAATGACACCTATAATTAACATATTAATGTCAACATATGTTTCAAATAAATAATCAAGGCGCAGTTAACCCTTAAAACTTGTTAATTCATTAAAAATGTTTCTGTGTATGTCTAGTTTTTTTTCCTTTTTTTTTTAGAAAAGGGTAGAGGCAAAGAATAAGGGACAACGCACACTGCTTTTCAGCAGAGTTCAATAATTTGGCAATGTCTATTCTGGTCTGGTAATTTCCTGTTTGTCTACTTCTTTTCGATTTTGACTGGTAAGCTTCAATTTATTTAAAGATTGCAATAAAGATTACTTTGAATATTGGATGTAATACGCGTAAGAAATAAAACACAAACAGGAACAATAAAAGGACACTCATAGATAAAGAAACAAAAAACGATTAAAATTAAGAATATCATTATCATTATATATACAGAAATTATCAGTTATCCATAATTACTATTTGCAAAAAAAAAATTTAAAAATCTTAATCACAAGAACAGGCAAGTTCTCAATGTCAAAAATTCATTCATAAAATTAAAATTTATCATTATTTACAAAAATATATATAATATGATTCTAATTCAGAATTTAAATCACAAGTAGAAGCAAATTCTAAATATCTAAAATTCAATAAATAAATTGTTATCAGTTAGGATAAAAAAAATAAATAAACAGAATACCCATGAACACAAGAACACCAGTTGAAGAAAAAAGGAAAATAGAAAATCATTATCTTATTATTATCTGTTATCAATTACAATGATACACAGTAAAAAAAAATAAATAAAATTATCACTAGGAGGACGCAAAAAAAAAAACAAGACAAGGAAAAAAGCTACCAGTTTTTTAAAAGGCCAATGTTGGTAAGGACATTTTTTGAGCGCTTGGTGTTTACCTTAGGAAGAGCGAATATCCTCGGAGCCCTAAAACTGTTTGGGACCGCAGTTGCTTTGGGAAGACCATGTAATTTGTTTGAAGGGTTATTTAGCTTACAAAAATATTCCATGCACAACCGAGTGCGCCGTTCCGACAAGAGAGGGAGATTTAGGGAGGCTCTGGCCAGAGCCATAGATAGAAAGAGTTGCGACATTAAGAATTTAGAAGCCATTCTGTGTCCAACGCGATGCGCGTTCCTGTGTATGGTATAATATCGTATAGTGTAATTCAATTAGCAGCCTCCTGTAATTTAATTTAATCTTTTTAGCAGTTGAATTTCATGTAACTATATTTATAAATATTATTTTTAATGATTTCATTACTTTATATCCAATTTCATACTATATATACTGTAATAATTTACTATTTTTAAGCAGTTCTTTAATCCTTTTCGATAGACGGAGAGCCCCTCGAAGTATTCTTCAATTAGGCAATTTTGCCTGCCAGACCCTGAAGTGGCTCCTGTTATTTTGGCAAAATAAATGATATATGACGACTAACAAAAATTAATTAATAAATTAACTATCATATATTCATATATGCCTCTAAATATCAAAATGTAAATGTAATTAAGATTAGTTACTCCAATATATTAGTTTCGATTACATCTATGTTGTTTATGTTATTCAATTTCTGTGGGAAAAACGATAATAAAACAACAAAATATCCAAGTATTTTCCCTTGAATTTTGCAAAGAGAAACAACAAGTTCTTTCGAGATCATAATAAAATAAAAGAAGGCCTATTTTATCGACATTGTCGTTCTACCAACTTAGATGACTACTAAAGACAAAATAGTGCTAGCCATATTTATGTTTTCATAGTATATGCCAAGTGGGCCGCATCATTTTCGTTCGCAAATTGATAGTACAACTAATTTTCACTGTCAGTCAAGTATTATTTAAAAAGTAAGGGGAAATCCTTTGTCTCCTTAACTCATTGGTCTTGTATCGTTTTTTCCAGCCTGCTTTATCAAAATCAGTGTTGGCAGCCCAATTTTGAACAGCCAGGTTCATTACTTTTAGCTTTTTTGACCTGTTTTAGTGATTTCAATGATCCGTAAATAGAGCCAGTGGCGGCGCCAGTGGGGGAGTGGGGGAGGGGAAGCAGGTGCTTAAGCCCCCACCGGACAGGTCGAAGCCACCCCCCCCCCCTTTATCTGACAGAGCTCGTCGGGCAGTGGGACTAAAAAATAGGCCCAGGCCAAGTAAGCCAACACCCCGTCTGTCACAATTACAGCGTGTCATTTCTGGCCACCCAGAGGTTCCTATTCTTTAAAAAATCTCATTTGGGAGGGGGAACACCCTCTCAAGCCCAAGTCCCCTGTCGGACAGCTCAGCCCCCACCCCAAGAAAATTATATCCTAGAGCCGCAACTTTAAAATTAAATATGAGCGAGCCCTATACAAATCTTGTATTATTAATTTGATTATTATTATTTATAAATATTAAAACAGTATAGGTCAGTTGGCCGCAATATATAAACTGATATTGTGTAGGCCTAAGTGAAGAGCAAAACATATACTTTTTTGACAACAAAGGCAGGTCTTTTCAGACATAAATTAAAATAGACGAACGTTTAACATTCCAATTATAATTTCTATGTAATTCCATGTAATTCGCATTTAATTATCAAGCTCGCGTGAATACGCGCAAATATTTGAATTCTAAAGATAAATTCTAAATCACGCTTTTGATATTAAGTTGTTATTAATTAAGTAATAACATCATAAACACAATTAAACATGTGAAAATACTGTGTAATATACCGAACTCATATACTTTGCATGTGTTCATCGGGAAGATTTGACACAAAAATGGACGGTGTGTACCACGTGATTTTCGCAAACCGGGGAGCGGAATGTCCCAACTCTATATATATATATATGGCTCTGGCTCGGGCCTGATCGTAACCAACCCCAGGGACAATAATTTTTAAAGCTCGGCGCTGAATTTGTTCAAGTTCCTTTTCTTGTTCTGTCGTGATACTCATTCCCCATACAGGAACGGCATACTCGATTACAGGTTTTATAACACTAACAAAAAATTTTAAAAGGTCCGCTGGATCAAGCCCAGATCGATGGAGATGTTTTGGAAAGAACAGTCTCAAGCTTGCCTTCACCAAAATTGAGTCGACATGTAGGTCTGTAGAGCCCACAAATGTAAAAATCTACCACAAATGTTCCATTTTTACCTCAAATGTCATAACATGTCAACCGCAAATGTAAAAATTTTCTTAGGCACTTAAATCCTTAGGATATTGAAAAGAACCTAATTAACTGCTATAAATTAACTGCTATAGTAGAACTGCACCAAGTTGCGCATTTTAGTAGAGCAGCTACGGGTCAAGTTGTGCGCTTTATTACCAAAGCATAAAACTTGGCACAAAATATATTTGCCATTTTTTCTGGGGCCATTTTTTCCGGGGCCATTTTTTCTGGGGCCATTTTTTCCGGGGCCATTTTTTCTGGGGCCATTTTTTCCGGGGCCATTTTTTCTGGGGCCATTTTTTCCGGGGCCATTTTTTCTGGGGCCATTTTTTCCGGGGCCATTTTTTCTGGGGCCATTTTTTCCGGGGCCATTTTTTCTGGGGCCATTTTTTCCGGGGCCATTTTTTCTGGGGCCATTTTTTCCGGGGCCATTCTTACCTACATTAGGCCAACGTACTTTACAAGTCAACCGCACAATGGCGCCTGCACTAATGCTTTTGAAAATACATATCAAATGTTTGTTGATTTTGTTCAGATTTTTCTGTCGGAGATATTTTTTCCAAGTACAACATGAATACATTTGAGATACTGCTTTACCGCAGGCAGGATATGGTGCTTTTCAACTATTTTTTCCCTTGTGTTTTTTTTTTTTTTACACTCTGTGAATTCATTCAATGTTGTTTTGTTCAGTCAGTATTTTACGTGGGCTTCGTGTCAGGGTATCACTTTTTTGAAAACATGGTTCTAAAGTAATTGAAGTTTCGCACGGCACGTGTTTGTGTCATATTGTCTATCCTTCTTTTAAATGGAGTCGGTGATCTTATTTTATGAAAACCTTTTAGATAATACTTAACTGCAAGTATAGGTGATTGTCTTGTTAAAATGTTTTACCTTTCAAAAAACACCACTAATAAAGAACACAAGATGTCAGGCCTGGAAAAATAATATTTGTGCCTCCGGCCATAAATAGTCTTTGAAATATGCCTCTGAATACAGCCCAACGGTGATGGTGGTCTGGAATCGAGCAAATTTATTTATTTTTTTAAAACAAATTCCCTCTGTGAAATTTGTAAATCTTCCAATTAACAGCCCAACAATGGATGTCTGGGAAAAGCCGCAAAGCAAAAAATGCTTGATTATGTTAATTTAAAATGATTTTAAAACATTTGATACATTAAATAAAAACAAAAAACAAAAAAAAAAACCCAGTAAAACATTAGTCGAACCATTTTTTTTTCATTGTTAGAATACGCTATCTTAATCCAAAGTATTTTAAAACAATTCCAACTATTCTTGTATCTTCAATTTCATTTTTTTATACTTCAATTTTCTCTTAAAAAATAAACACATTATTAACGAATACGATTGCTGATTCTACCCATTCTGTGTAATTCACCACTTTGCTTCCAATTTTCATTTTACCCTCTCTTTCAATTTTAAAGCGTTTAGATATTTTGACATTCAAATTGCTTAAAATAAAGGTGTATTGTATTGTCTTACATTATTATATAAACTGAAATACGTTGTCCTAATCGTAATCAAAATTAGTGTGAGCCTATCATCCTGGTTCCCGTGGCCATGCATTTGTTATTAAATGGGAAAGGACAATTAAAGCTTATTTTTGGATGACAGTTGGTTTAGGCTATGAAGGTAAACGTCCTTGGAGAGAAATTAATAACATCTGCATTATAAGGAAGTATGTCATGCCATTTAACATGACCGGCTAAAACGGGTGGGGGTGGGCACCAGGCCCCCACTTTTTGGCAAAAAACATGTCTATGCAGATTTTTGTATGATCGGAAGGAAATGCAAGAAAAAAAAAAGAATGAGTGCCCCCACCTCAGGCTTTAAAAAAACGTTCAGCCGGTCCTGTTAAATATAATATATTGTGAACGACCTACTTAGGCCTATATACTGGCGCGGCACCATCTAATACTCATTTGTGAACACAGATGACAATAGAGAAATAACTTACCAACCACAATTTAGAGGCCAACGTACTTATAGGTCAACCGCTCATGGTGTCCGCACTTATTAAGTGCTTCAAAAAATATATCACACTTTTGTTAATTTGTTCAGATGTTTCTGTCGGAGATAAGCAGGTATTTTTTGACAAACAACATGAATACATTTGAGATACTGCTCTGATTTTTACTTGTTTTTTTTTTTTTTCAACAAGAAGCCATAATGAACAGATCCATATTCTTTGAATCTATTCGATGTTGTTTTGTTCAGTCAGTCATTTACGTGGGCTTCGCGTCAGGGTACTATGTACTACAACATTTTGAAAAAATGGTTCTTAAGTAATTGAGGTCTCGCACGAAAGTTTTTGTGTGATATTTATAAAGTCTGTTGAAGTATAATATTGTTCATCGTTCTATTAAATGGAGTCGGTCATCCTACTTTATGAAACCTTTTAAATAATTACTTAACTCTGCAAGGAGGTACAGTATTTTCTATTGTTGTCAAAATGTTTTAACTTTTACAAAGTACGGCTAGAAAGGAACAAAAAAATGTCGGGACTAAAATATAATTTTGGTGCCTCCAACCATGAAGAATCTCTTGAAAATGCCTCTAGCACAAAATGTTATCTTTACACTATACTGACGCTGTCTCTTAAATTGAAAATTTGATCATCATAAAAAACATTTTTTAATAAAAAAAATTTATGAAACTTCATTGTGTATACAAACGTACTGTACACTACTACATTTATGTAGCGCTGTTTCATTAAGATCTGACCACATTTTGCTTTTACAAACGAATGATATATTTGAATATCTTACAGTGTGTTATCTCTATTTTCTAGACATGTGTCTGCCTTGTTGACTCTGCTGTATTCTGACAAAAGCATTTCTGTTTCATCACAGTAGAAGCATTGACCGGTGTAGCCTATGGTGTTCTGACCGTTATCACGGACAATAGTGAAACCAAAAGTGGGAGACACTTTAGAAGAATCTGCTCTGGAAGAATAACCTACTACCACTGTTGGTGCTGTTAATAAGAAAAAAAAAATAAATGAGCTATAATGTATGTAATGTAAAAATGTTCTCACCAAATGGCAAACTATTAAATTTGTCAAAGTAATTTTATTATCAATGATACAACCAAGGTAAATATAAAAATTGTCTTCCTTGGAGTACAAAGAAAGTTACAAAAAAAGTAATACAAACACATAAAAAATAACATAAAAAGGAAACAGGTTTTGAGAATCGTATTTTTATATAATTATACTCTAACATTAATTAGTCTAAAGCCAGGCAATCACTGTGCCAGATGGTTGTCGGCTGGCACGATTCTACAAAGAATGCAATGTGATGATGCGTGCGCAATGTATCGTTTATAATGACGATCCGTTCAGAGTACCCCCGACAATTAGCAGACAATGTCGCGTGGTCTAGCGCTCACAGAGGCAGGTTTGAATGCTAGAATCCATCAGTTAACAAGAGAACGTACATCCATATATACACACAATACAACGGTAAATGATTTAAGCGTTGTGAAATACAGTGAAGTACGACTGGTCGATTATTGCAAGGATTGGTAGATTGAGTACCTTTGCATCGTTTTTGTTACCCTGGTTACGATTGCTGTTTGAGCTTGTTAGGGTTGTATTTTTTGTTTATCAGTTTTTGATGTTTCGCCGTTTTGACATTTGACGAATACTTCCTTCCTCCAATAAATGAAGTTGAACAATACTGCATTCGTTTTAGGTTGTTTTCGTCTTATTGTGAGGCTGACGACTGGTAGCGCGCAAACTGTATCATACCACACATAGCCAGCTGCATTAGGCAAAAATCTGTCGTATAAATGTTACTGCTTTTTGGTTAATTTGCACGATTTTAAATGCTTTTAATACTAACCTTGTGCTCCCAACAAACGTTCATAAGATGTACGGTAATTGCCGAATATCATTCCCGTAGTAGAATGAGTGAGAGTAATCTCATCTCCATAGTTATTGTACCAGACACCTTCCAAGTTACAATAGAGTACTGAAAAAAAAAAAACAAGAAAGCAACAATATACCACAAGGCTCTGTACACTTAATCAAGATTTGTGTGTCAATACCTGTGATGTGACCATAATAGTGTGATACCAAGGAGGGTGATACTACATCATCATACCCATTTATGGGTATATATATGATATTATCATGCCCATATATGGGTATTATATGACATTATCATAACAATATATGGGTAAATCCCACTGGTTTTATTATTAATGTTTTTAAATATAGGCATTGAGTTTCAATTATTAGGTTTACTGTATATAAATAATTATCTATATAATATTTACCATCATCACAGTTAACTCCGCCAAATCCTTGTCGGCATGTACACTGGTAGAACCCAACAAAGTCAGTGCAAGTCCCCCCATTCTGGCAAGGAAGGCTAACACAGTCATCATAATCTGGAAGGAAAAAAAAAATCAATTGTCACAATGTTACCAACAACAATTCAGGAATAAAAATTTGGTATTTATCAGGGGCCAGCTGTTAATCATAAGCACTTAAGGTCACTTTCCATAGCACCATCAAACTCTGGAACAGTATACTTCTAGCTGGAGAGAAGCACCCTTTCTGGCGATGAATTTTGTTTAACAATCTACATCTTTAGTTGTAGCCAGTGGAAGCTATAGGATATATTTTCTGGGGGGGGGGGGGGGTAATTTTGGGGGGGGGGGGGGGGTAGAGGCTAAGTTGTCAGACAGGGTGGGGCTGAGTGAGATAAGAAAAAAACTTTGGCACCTGCACCCCATCTCCAAAGTGGGAAATATAATCTAATTTATTGTTTAACTATACTTTTTCTTTCTTTCTTTCTTTCTTTATTAATATTTAAAAAGGAAATCCATCTCAACATGGCTGATATTCAGTGGAGTTCTCTCACATAAAAACTTACAAAATCCACAGTAAAAATAGACAAAAATATTGCAGTTTCTTCAAGAAATCATTAAAAAAAAAAACCAATAAGACTTAAAATTTCAAAAATAAAAAGGACTTAACATGTTTTTTAAAAGTAAATAAAGCTATTATAATGTTCAGAGTGTTCCAAATCTTGGCCCCTGAGCATCCAACTGTGGACATCCCCACTGACGTACAGGTAGCATGCTTATACGGATATATGTTACATCCTCCTCTGCCAGCCCTAAAAGTGACTTCTGACCGCTTGCAAATTTTATATTATTTATATTTTCATTTATATTAAAACTTTACACGTACCTAATTCACAGTTAGTACCGATCCATGGAGATACACATTCGCAGATGTAATTAGTTTCTTGGTTTCGGCAAGTACCGCCATTAACACACGGGGCGCTCTGGCAAGGATCCAAGTCTGAAAATCAAGTTTATTCAGTCAATATAAGGCCTGGTTTCCATAGTAATCGCTACACGCTATCGCCAACTCTTTTGGCGACTCTGATTGGTCAGTTAAATCAGGGAGCGTTTCCGATTGCATCGGGAAGAGCTATTAAAGTAGTGTGACGATTGCAGTAACAAACTTTAGCGACAGTGAAGCTATTTTATGAAAACCGAGCTTAAGGCGCATTTATTGCTTATTTTCACATGCCTTTTTTAAATCAATCAATCGAGGTAACTTGTATAGCGCCAAATTCCATCACATGAAGTAATGTTCTGTGGCGCTGAATGGTGATGGTATAATTACAGTGCACAAAATGGTTAATCTCATTATTAAACAAGTATGATTTTAGTTTCTTTTTGAAAATGGTGACATTTATTGCAGTTTTTATGTGAAGAGGCAGTGTGTTCCATAAAACAGGTGCTGCACATGAAAGTGACCGTCTACCATACATATGAAGTTTCAACTTGCAAACATGAAGAAGATGTTGTTTAGAGGATCTCAGGTTACAAGAAAACTACAGGATACAGTCAATTTTCAACAATCAAAAATAATATATATTAATAAAAATTAAAGACAAATATGGTTTATCAAGTCTACCACAGAAGGGTAAAAACTAACATAATTCTATACATTCTACAGAATGTATACATATTGACATGAAGTTTGTATATAAACTGTATAAAATTTTCCTCCAATTTAAGACTCTGCACCATTGTAAATGCCTTTGCACAGCATCACACAAATTTTCAAGTCATAAAGTTTGTTTTGAATTGGAGAGTGAACAGTATTTTTTAGTCTAATTTATTAGAATTGTCATTTAATCGTCACTTACTTATTTCACAATTGTTGCCGCCCCAATTGGCAGTACACTGACACACAAAGCTGTTGGCGCCATCGATACATGTACCGCCATTCAAGCAAGTTGTTGGTGTACAGTTATCTACATCTGGATAAACATCAAATGTCATAAATTAAGCCAATGAATTAAAATACTGTGTAGATGCTCTCACCAACCGGGCAAATATGGGGCTTTATTAGGAATTCAAATTTGATGAGAAGCTACTGATGTATAGCAAATAGATACGCTCTCATATTAGGTATTTAATAAGGTGAGATCTTGGCAAGTCAAATGGCCAAGTGGTTAGCAGGGGCGACGGAAGCCACAGCCATAATATTGGTGCTGGTTCAAACAGCAGGCACACTCGCCTATGGTTCCGGTGGTAGAACAAGTCTTTTTGGATTAAGACTATAAACCGTAGGCCCAGTGTATACAATGGCTCGTGTGCACTATAAAGAAACCAGTACATCCTTCGAGATGAGTAAGGGGATACCCATGAGTACTGGAACAGACAGCCCCTGTGGTGGACGACGAGAGATGCTGGTACCAGGTTAGCGGGTAGCACAGACACGAAGGGACCCTTGGGGTGAAGAAAGTCATTGATGGAGTTTCCCAGTCCACATACCAAGCGCCCTGAGCATCTTATATTAGATGGATATGGCGCTATATAAAACTACACTATTATTATATTACTATCTCTAAATGGATATTGCTAACAGAACAACTCAGCCAACACCAGAACTCGAACCTGGGATATTTTGCGTACAAAGTGAGCACTAGCTGCAATATTATGGAATTCTCCCCAGGGAGCCAAATGTGTTCCATACGTGTTTGATCCAATGGCCGGGGTAGTAATGTGAATTGCTTAGAGGCTTTAAGCATGAAGTGCTATTTAAAACCGACATATTTTTATTATTAAAGTCCTTAAAAATCTTTACTCATAAATATAAAGCTTGGTTTCCATACAATCACTACACGCTATCGCCAATTTTTTTTGGTGATGCTGATTGGTTGGTCATATCAGAGGAGCCTTCCAGATTGCGTTGGGGACTGGTACGCAGTACAGCGATCATGCTGACAACAATGTTGCAACAGTGTAGCGACTTTAAAGAAACCAGACTATACCATTGCTGAATTACATCTGAATCTTGGACTACATTTGGCAGATTCTTGGTCACTCCTCTAGACAAGATCATGGTCACATCATTAAAGAAGGATCTTGGGGAATATTTTAATGGAGTATCTTGATCAGTCCTCTGGACAAAGACCATTGTCACTTCTTTATTCTACTCAAGGAAGGATCTTTGACACTACATTTGGCAGAATCTTGATCATTCCTCTAAACAAGATCATGGTTACATCTTTAAAGAAGGATCTTGGTGAATACTCTAAAAAGAGTATATTGATCAGTCCTCTAGACAAAGACCATTGTCACTTCTTTATTCTACTCAAGGAAGGATCTTTGACACTACATTTGGCAGAATCTTGATCATTCCTCTAAACAAGATCATGGTTACATCTTTAAAGAAGGATCTTGGTGAATACTCTAAAAAGAGTATATTGATCGGTCCTCTAGACAAAGACCACGGTCACTTCTTTAGAGCAAGTTCCTTGGGAGCAAGGACTATCACTGACTCAAACCAGGATCTTAATCAATCCTCTAGAGTAAATTGTCACAGCAACCATAATTATTGAATAAATAATCAGACAGCAAACCATACTATATATGTAGTCAAGATATATCTACATGGACTAACTATTTGTATCAGATTACACTTACTATTGGTACAAGTAGGTCCGGTCCATCCAGCTTGGCACTGGCAGAAGAACTGGTTCAGACCGTCAGTACACACTCCACCGTTGGCACAAGGGGAGCTAGCGCATTCGTTCACATCTGTCAAAATAAAACTCATTTAGTGAATTCTATTCAAAGGATGACTGTATCTCTGTTCACGTCCAATAAATTAAATATTCATGATTTGACTAATACTCAACCAATTTTCATAAAATAAAAGAGTGTTTTTAAAGAATTTTTGCAGAATCTAAAAATACTAAAAACTAAATTTTGAGTTTTTCTCATGAACAGCGTATTTTGCAAGATCACATTTGCTTTTCCTATCCAATAATCATGAGTTCAAATAGTGTGAGACCACCATAATTTTGTTTCTCACAACTGAGAATAACTCAAACTACATCTATGTTTATAGTGCATTGCTCCATCCAATTGGCATGGGGCACTTGCTTATAGATATTAGTACAGCATAGCACATTGGTTCTCACATCAAATATGTGAGACTTGGCTCATCGCATTACAATCATCAATCAATATCAATCAATTAAAATATTTATATAGTGCCAATATCCAAAAATGTTCAATGACGCTCTCACACTTGTTCAGAATGCTCTTAAAAAAAGGAAAGCTTTCAGATTGCTCTTGAACACATTCACATTTGGAGAGTTCCGTATTTCAATGGGCAATAATATAATAATAATATAAAATAATATATGTATGAATCCTCAGACTAAAATACCATTACATAAAATATATAGTAGTATAGTATTAAAAACAAACAAATTACACACAAGCATTGATTTTGGAGTCTATAACCTACTATTGGTATTGCAAATAGAACTTGCCTTTTTCCCTGCATGTAGAACATCCCTCAAATTTAATAGAAAAGTCAGTCTCTAGGCACCACTCAAATATAATGGAGGGGTGTTATAGTTTATAGAAAAAAGGTAGTAGCCAATTTAACCAGGTAACACCCCTTGAATTTAATAGAAAGGTCAGTCTCTATGCACCAATCTAATATATTCAAGGGGTGTTCTAGTTAAAAGGAACAATGGTAATAGTTAGTATTATATCCAGGTAACTATTAATGCAAGATGGACTTTAATATTACAGTTTTCGAATGCTGAGGAAACACTACTTAAAATTATGCCTTGTACAGGGGTAAAATCATGAAAAACAGGTGAATTATTTAAATGATTATCATACTTGTTTCACAGAAGTTGCCACTCCATCCAGGCACGCACAGGCATATATACTGGTTGTTGCCATCCAGACAGGTTCCCCCATTCTGGCAAGGACTGCTGGCACATTCATTGATATCTGCAAAGAACAACTGTACTGTATTAACAATATGAACAATAAAGCATTAAATGGCTACGGGCACACATTTGTCAGGCGACAACGGTGAGGTCTAAAAGGATGCTGTATGTGGCCCAGCAGGGTTGGGTGACATTAGGGGGTTTTCGCAAGCTTACGAAAACGATAATGAATACATTACGTCATCAATTTCTTAGACAACCCTTTCCCTACAGTAGCATATATCTTTCACAACATAGAATTATATGCAGCTTGTTTTCATTAAGAAAATGCAATCTATAGTAATAAACCCAACATAAATTTTTGAATATGTGATTTTTTTAAAAGTAATTGGTACCAATGTGTAAGTGATAATAATTTAGTTTCAAACCGTCTTATGAATGTGCAATACTGGCGAGCGTCAGGGTTGCGCATCTTGTTGCCTAATTTATCATCTCTTGTATACAAATGATTTTACATGTACATATGAAGAATCTAATCTAGCAAACTGCCTTTCTATTAGGTATGCAGACGACACTTGCATGCATGGAAGGTCTTGTGAAAGACAACAACATGCAAGAGTATGAATATAAGGTGAATCATCTGTCCTATGGTGCCAACTCAATTATTTATAAAATAATAATAAGAATACAAAAGAGGTGATAACTAATTTTTAATGAAAAATAAGGTTGAGCGTGAACAAATAACAATATATAAAGAAGCCGTTAAAATTGTAACCAAATAGTACTTGAGTGTAATGACTGATGACAAGTTAAATTGGAAGTAAAATACAAAATATATATGTTCAAGTGTAAACACAAAATATCACTTTTTTATCAATCTATTAATATTTATTTTTATTTGTCATTACCTTTTGAGGGATAGCCTGTTTCAATACATTAAAATTTTAAAAAAATATTAAAAACATCCAGCAATATAATTGGTGTTAATGTTGAACACTTGAAGAAATATGTAATAATATTATGGAAAGGATATTGTGGAAAAGGAAACTATAATAACGTCGGATAAACACCATACGCTAAAGAGCTGTGTTACATTTAGTAGAATGGAGAGAATTTTCTATCCCAGGATAAAAACAAAGAAATTGTTCCTCCCTTCTCCCTCCTCAACCAGTTGATTTTGTGTCAATTTTTACTATTATATTTTATACTTTTTAGAACCCATTTCATAATTTTTGCATTTTAACACTCATTTGTATAGTCAGTTTCTATGTTTTCATTGCAAGGCAATTTAAAAAATTGTATATTTAATATGACAGACAATAAAGAATATATATATTCTACGGTATTATATAGGACCGTCTCTGGCAAAACACTTTGTTTGTCGCAATTTCCCAAAATGCTCGGGAATTAGAATTTTAAAAGTTTTCAAGTTTTTGAATTTTATAAAGGAAGGTATATTGAAGAAAATCTCTACAAAATATCAATCACTAAATCTAACTAAAAAGTATATTACAATTATTTTAAAACTACAAATCTTAAAAATAAACTACTTTAAATCTTTGGAAGCAGTTTTCCAAAAACCTACATGACTGATATCCAATGAATTAAATATTCATAACTTTGCTAATACTCAACCAATTTCCATCAAATAAACACTGTCTTAAAGAAAAATTTATGTAGAATATAAAAATACCAAAAACTCAATTTTGAATTTTTCCTACAAACAGCTGATTTTGCCAGAGCAGATCACGTAATATAATTGGTTGGGACTTTTTTAAGAACATGGTTACAATTTCTATTGAATTCTAATGGGCAAATAGGCAGCTGCTATACTTTTAATCAGTATCTTTTTAAGGTTTGCGGACATAAAGTTAATGATTATTTTGTTACTGTTGAAATCTGGTACAAATACATGAAATTAATGGCAATTAAAGGGTATCAGAGAAATAAAGAGTAAGGTACGAAGGCTGTCTTACTGATTTCACAGTGAGTTCCTTGGAATCCAGGTGGACAAGTACAGGTGTACATGTTAACACCATCGACACACAAACCACCATTCTGGCAAGGAGAACTGCCACATTCATCAGTATCTGAAATCAAATAATCCTTTTTTTAATAATCTATATACAGTTCAAGATAGTATAATACATACTCCAAGTATTGAAATGCAAGCCATCGTGTCGGGATTCAATATTTCAACAATAATTATGTCATCATCAGGAATGACATTATCTCTCTAATAAAAAATCCCTCCAATTAAAATCCACCTCCAATCAAAGACCACATTTATGTGGTCCCAAATCAACAAATGTCTATTTATACAGTATATCTTTATTATTCTATTTTGAGACCATGGCTGCTAAATACCATGTAAACTCCAGTTCCAAAAACGGTCTTTAATTGGAGGGAGAATTGCATTTAATGATAAAGCTATATTTTTAATGATAATCTATATATTAACACTTTTCACTGATTGACTGATAAATACTCTGAGTACAGAACCATTTTTGGATCTTAAAGTGGTGTTTGGAGCACATTAGTACATTTTTGTAGTAATTGTTTTCAAAACTCGCTACCATTTTGGCATCAATATATGCGTTTCTGTTTTGGATGCATCATTGTATGCATATATTTTTAGGACAACCTGCAAAACCTTCACGAGACAGGATACTTACTGGCAGCACAGACAACACCCGTGTATCCGCTTAGACAGGTACACCGGTAGCCATTCACCAGATCATCGCAGACACCACCATTCAGACAGGGTGAGCTAGCACACTCATCAATATCTTGAGGTGAATAAAAAGATTGCACGGTGTTAATAAATCCAATTCCATCAAATGTCCATTTTTCAGGAAATATTAAGGAAATTGGAAGGCGATCTATATACAGATATCTAAAATGGGTGATTCTATTATTATCTAGGGGTTTTTCTTTGCAAAAACAAGGGCAATATTTGTATTATATCCAATTAGGAATATAGAAAAAACACACTCCCAATTATATAGTGCTGTAGTTTTGTTTTTTTCTTTACCTTTCATGCTAATTGTTTTTTACATATGTCTTAATTCTCTTTAGAAATCTATATGTGCATTTCAATTTCCCACCAAAATATATGTCATCCGATCGTAGAGTCATTTAAAGATTGACAGAATCCATTAAAGCCCTGCCCATACTATCAAATTTTATTTGACAAAAAAAAAACCTATTTACTTACTAAACTTATTATATGACAAAACTTATTATATGACAACATAGAGTCATGATGACATGATGTCATCATGCCATATTTGGGTATACTTACTTGTTTGACACAAGGTTCCGGTCCAACCAAGTATACACTGGCATGTAAAGGTGTTGAGGCCATCTATACACACCCCATTATTCTGACATGGATTTGGTGAACAGTTATTATCATCTGAATACGAAGCACAAAAATTATCAAATCATAAAAAAATAACGTACTGAGAGCTGCTGTAAATATACATAATAGTTTGTTAATACTTATTATACAAGTTTGTATAATAAGTTTGGTTCTCTTTCCAGAGATGAACTAGTATTCCTTAAATGTTACATTAGACCTGTGATTGATTATGTTGCCCGTTTCGCAGCAGGGCCTACTTGGACTCAGAAGGGAGCTTTTGATTGCACGACGACGGTAGGACGTAGAATGTAATGACGTCGCTGAAAGTCATCTGCGTATGCAAGAACGATAAGTTTTCCTCGTTGTGTGGATTCTAGGATTCAATTTGGCCAAATCTATGTATGCGGAGAACATGGATTGTCCGGTAGGACGGCCATGCATAAGTGATTCCGTTTTAGCGTCGTGTCGTCAAACAAATCGAAAGCTTCCTCTTTCTAATTGATCGCACACAAGAGCGTGTGTAGGAGGTGCATTCTCTTTAAATCATTGAATAATTATGTGGAAGTTCTTTCCACACTTGGACTAAAGAGACTGGCTGACCACCAGGTCACATTTTGCGAAGAAGTCTGTAAATTTCAGATAAGAATGTATAATACATACTCTAAGTATTGAAATGCACACCATCGTGTTGGGAATCCCAACAAGATGGTCTGTAAATTTTTCTGAATTAGTGTTTAAATATTTTTGTATGAATTCTGAATAAATATACCTGGATATATAATAATAATTTATTTATATGCTCAATGCAAAATGAATAGATGGAATGATCGATAGATCAACTGACTAATTAATGAATAGAAAAAACTAAATTTTTATCATCCTGACCACCATCCTCACTGTCGTCAGCATCGCTGTTCATCGTCAGCATTGTCATTATTATCACCATCATTCCAATGCTCATTCTCCTATATCACCACTGCATCACCTACTCACTCAATTTGTTCAATTATCTGACATAATCATTAACTAGTTAAGACTAAAATTAAAAGTGGTACTGTATGTATGACCAGTCCACATGCTATGCTCACAAAAAATATGAAAATGCACTATTAAACTCAGAAAATTAAATAATTTGAAAAACTGTTGATTGTTGGAATATAACAACTCACTCATGTCACAGACACTTCCTGAGAAACCAGGTAGACATGTACAGATATACCCATCAACAACATCAGTACAGGCGCCGCCATTCTGACACGGCAGAGATGCACACTCATCTATATCTGTAAAAGTCATTGTGTAAAAACAAGATTAACAATTTATTGATCTCCTTTGAGAAAATGCGCTGCATCCACAAAATGATGATACACAATGTAAATATTAAAGTGCACTATATTGATAATAAGAATGCTGTAGCGCACCTGCAATGTATTCGATGTACGCAGAGCTGTGTGTGTGCACACATACAAGATGGCTGCTGTTGATTCAGCCAATCATAATATGCTAAGCATTGTTCCAATGTCGCCCTAAACGTACCATTACAGTTTTGAATACAGCGATGTTGAAGCTCGAGTGCTGTGGTGTACGGTACACAATTCTGATTTTCATTCCTAAGTACTTTATTTTTAAATTATATACCCCACTTGTCTCATTTTGGCTATGAAAGTTTAATGGTTAATGAAATAATAGTTAATCAGAAGAGGCTTATTTATTGTTATAATATGTATACTAAGCCTGAAGGTGTTATTTTCCTATGGCGGCCATCTTGAATGGTACACAACTCTGCATTGCTTCATCGCCTAGTCAGCACTCTAGTTGTATAATAGCCCTATGGTAATATTATCGAGTTGTCCAAAATTTATTCACGGGTCCCAAGTTGGAAGAAGAAGCCACTTCCAGGAGACATGTTTAACACGTTGGATGCAAGCGACAAGCATACTTGTCCCACAGGTTGTTCCTGATATCACCACAGGGTGATGATATTCGTCAAAATTGGGGCGACATTCTAGTTTTTATTACTTCTTTGTTATACATTGAAAAACCACAGACTTAACGGCTGGTAGTTCGGGGAAGATACACCTAGATGACTTACAGTAAACATTAATTGGGACCCCTGTTTTGTTATGTTCTCAAATCTTACCATATTATATTCTCACGTATAAGACAAGGTTTAAAATAGCCAATTACGATAGAAAAACAGGGGGTTGTCATATGCACAACATACACATTTATTTATTCAAAATACGTAACATGCATATATACTTCTGCAATGAAGCTACTCCTGTTAGTAGAATGAATGTAATTTTAAATAAGTGGAAAGAAGATTTCGATGAACATTTAAAAGCCAATAAAATAGAAATATTTGGAATATTAGCCTTAAGTTCTTTGTGACATACCATCTTGATTTTACTGTATGATTGTTTGATTTCGAAGAAATTAATGTTTATTTGATTGACTGATTGGTTGGTTGACTGGTTGATTGATTAATTGATTAATTGACCGGTTGATAGATTGATTGATTGATTGGTTGGTTGGTTGGTTGGGTGGTTGATTGATTGATTGATTGATTGATTTATTGATTTATTGATTGATAGGTTGGTTGACTGATTGGTTGACTGATTGGTTGATTGACTGATTGATTTATTGGTTGATTGATTGATTGATTGATTGACTTACTTATGTTGCAAAAAGCACCAGTCCAGCCAGGAGCACAGACACAGAAGTATGAATTGACAGCATCCAGGCAAGTGGCACCGTTTTGACATGGAACACTTGCACACTCATCAATATCTGAAATACAATTGAGTCATTCACAATTATCAACACTTTTTTGCAAGTGTACAAACAGTAATCTTCCTCAGTATCCCTTCTCTTCCCCTCTGAAATGTACATAAAAAAATGTTAATTTTACAAAAACCATTCTCCCTTTTTTTTTTTAAAAACTATAATACTGTACTTTGTTACTTAAAAACGTACATTTTATCCATGGTTGCATTATAATTGGTCATAAACATCTATTTATATATTTTCCATTTTGTTTTGAACCAACATTTTCATGCATTCTTTTCACTAATAATAATCATTTATCTGGCTTGCTTCAGTGTTTTCTCGCATATATAATTATTCCATTTTAAAATCACTGTACGCCTGCCTCTGGAATGGTACGTACCTACTTCACAATTCTGTCCAGTCCAGCCTGCAGGACACTGGCAGAGGTATCCATTGACCCCATCAAGACAAGTTCCTGCGTTTTGACACGGTCCACTGGCGCACTCATTTATATCTAAAATAAACAACAAATTTAACAAGGTATTTTTTCACATATATGAAGTTTTGTATATTATAGTTTCATTTTTTGAAGTATGCATACATATATAATCATTTTCCTACATATGAATTCTTTGTATCTACAGTGTATGTGGCAAAGACAAGCCAAACCCAGTCAATTGTTGCAAAAATAAACTTTTTGTTACTAACACATGCAGTGTTCAACAGTAAAATGAGAGCTGTAAAATGGTAAAAAAATAATTTATATCTGTTTAAAGAACACTATATGAAAAATCAGCCTTCAAAATTTATGATTTCTTGCATTTCTCAGGCAGAAATGCCTGAAAAATGGAGAAAATAGCATAGCACAATGTATAGATCTTTATCAGTTTGTTTAGTGTAATAAAATAGATTTAAAAAAAATGTTTTGGCCAATATCTCTGAAACAGGATTTGCGACGAGTGACTAGTTTGGCTTGTCTTTACCAATGGAGTCTGTGGCATTAATATAATTTTGTATACGTATGACGGTCACGCATGAGGGAACCCATTCAAGGGTCGCATCATCGTGCAAATCGATAGCTCCCTATTATAAGTTTGTATACGCACTGATGTCACAATTGGTTCCTTGCCACCCTGAGGGACAGGCGCAGAAGTAGTAGTTGATTTGATCGATGCAAGTCCCTGAATTCTGACATGGGCTACTTTGACACTCATTGATGTCTAGATATAGAAAATAAAATAGAAAGAT